AATATATATATATATTTATTTAAAAAAGTAAACCCTGACATTTTGAACTTGTTACAGTGGTATTTCTTTCACACTTTTTGATCATCGGACAATAATAAAAATTAAGTTAAATGAGGAATGTAACAGTCCAGATGTCAAGGCATGACTCTGTTAAAAATAAACAAACAAACAAAAAAGAAAACTCCTGAATAGGTTAACGAAATTCCACTGTCTCGCAAAGACTCACATAAGGGACCGGGCTCGGAGAAATCACTTTGCGATAGATGTGTTGCAGTGATGCCATGACTTCCACACACCCATTGATCCGAAGAATAAGCTTCAAGAACAAATATTCTTCCAAATCAGCATCCGAATAGTACGGAATTAATTCTGAGACTTTGAAAGTTCGAGAAGAATTATGGGTCATGGAAATGGTGAAAGAGAAAATCCCCCCCTACTAAAAAAAACAAAAACAAGGAAAAGGAAAAGGAAGAAGAAAAAATAGCGAAAAAGAAACTATATTATTGACTATTGGGTTCAGTCTCTAAACCCACGTTATGTGGCGCTGTTGTCAACCAGTTTACTTGTTGTTGTGTTTTGCCGGATTGGGCAGAAAGCTTCACGACTGCTATCTGCGCTAGCCGTCACTAATTTCGAACAAATAGACAAGAAGGAAGACAACTAGTCAACATTCATCACAACATTTTGGGCTATTCTTGTTGAACCGAATAATGGAAGTTGACCGACACTCTTAGAATGCACCCATGGTCCCAAGTGCTAAGCACAATTTTGTTTCTTTCTTGTAGTAACCAGACGCAAATAATGGAACCTCAGCTCCATATCCAGCACACTAACTACTCCCATTGTTTGCTAGTTATTCACTGTGTCTGATAACCTCGGCTCCATATCCAGCACGCTAACTACTTGATCAGACACGGTGAATAACTAGCAAATAATGGAACCTCGGCTCCATATCCAGCACGCTAACTACTTGATCAGACACAGGTTGAGAACCATGAGAACCATCTATAAACTAAGGGCCTGTGGACCACAGGGTGAGAACCATGAATTACAACATGGATCTATTCTCTCAGGACAATATAACAGTTGTCCATTTTTATATTAATAATAATGCCACAGTAAAGTTCAACATTTATTACAAATGTAACATTTCCTAACCCAAACCTTTAAAGTTTCTTCATTAAAATTTATAACCTTTTAGCAGGGCTTGGTAACTGAATAGCGGCTGATTTTGTCTCATTTGGTTTTGATAAAGATATTTTTTTAAACTATTCTCTATAAATAATTAGGTCTGTACTTTAATATATAATACTCAGCGCCTTCTATATACCCAAGTTTCAACAAATTTGTGACATAGTTTTATTTTCAGATATAATAAATAAACACTGAAATAGAAAATAGAGAAAGCTTTGTTTTGTTTGTTTTCTAATCTCGCGCAAAGCTACACGAGGGCTATCTGCGCTAGCCGTCCCTAATTTAGCAGTGTAAGACTAGAGGGTAGGCAGCTAGTCATCACCACCCAACTCTTGGGTTACTCTTTTAACGACGAATAGTGGGATTGACCGCACATTATAACGCCCCCCACGGCTGAAAGAGCGAGCATGTTTGGTGTGACGGGGATTCGAGTGTGACGAGTCAAGCGCCCTAACCACCAGGCCATGGCGTGCCTTTGAACGTTACCCAAGTATTTATTGTTACCTTAAAACCATAAACAATAAAAAATTGAACTGGAAACAAGTGAAGGTTTTCTTTACTTGAAAAATATCTTATCATAAAAACTTTCAGTGAAATGTATCAAATTGAAGAATCTATTTTTTCAATAGTCAGAACTTACACATTTTTTTTTAGATATTATAGAATTTTTAAATTAAAGCGGAAAACAGGAAGTTTTGCAGAAAAACTTGAATCCAGCCGAATAACCACTTTCGTATCATTTACGTAATCAGTCAGCAATAGAAAACTAGTTAAAACTTTGCGTATGTTTAACGCGAAAATAAATAAGCCCAAAAAGTTATCACTTATCAAAAGATGAGTTTATCTTTAGTAACAAATTTTACCAGAGCTGAAATTTGAAGTAATGATAGTGAAAGTAAAATGATAAAAGGTTTATTTCGAAACCTTAAAGTTACTGTGACTTAACGTTTACTGAGGAACTTACTAAACTGAATTATTATTTCAAAAATACAATAAGACCAACTTTTACGGTAACAAATAGCGTTATCATCAGGTAAACGTTACATTTCAATGTAACTTTTACTATGAGTCGAAACGTTGTAATTATTAAATTAAGGGCCTGTCTACTGTAAAAGTTTATGTTACTGTACTTTTGAATTAAATACTGTGACTTAATCTCACAAAAATGCACAGAAACGTGTAAAAAAGTTCAGCTAAGTTTCGTAAGAATTTAGACAAAAGAAAAACTTTTAACTTATGAGTCTTTATGAATTAGACCTCTCGGTTGGTTATACACCATAAAATAACCGTATGGAATATCTAACAATCTGATCTTCTGTAGTTCCCGAATTAGAAACTGATAACGTCATACTAAAGATCCAAACACTCATTTGATAAGACAATGTGAGAATGGGAAGTAATGCTAAACTATTTTATCTGCCACCAGATGGAGCTAGTGAGATATGTTGCTATAAGTTAACAAAAGGTCCTTAGTTGCTGGGGTAATAACCACCACTGCTCATTAGATGGTTGACTATTGAAATTGGACTGGCGAAGAACGACAAGAAGAGGATCTGGTGAACATTGCCAAGTCCATTGCACAAGACTTGCAGTGTCCACCAGAACCAACGCGCCTGTGTAAGGCCGTTATGGAAGGAGAAGATACGGACTGCGCAACGATATAAGATGAGGCAGATCTTTTGTTTCCTGCCTTAACTAATACGTCATTTTCTGGAGCCACTGAATTTGCCGAGCTCTCAGTCACAAGTTGCTTGTCAGTGTCTTTCTCACGACCAGAAAAACTGGTTTCATACTTCTTTGAAATGAGCGGTGTTTCAGTTCCTGTGTCCTCCGAAGAGTAGAGTTTCAGAGCTGTGGCCAGGTCCCGAAGCATCTCAGTGTCACTCTCTTCCAACAAGTTAAACTGTTGGGCGAAGAGCATGAAGTGGGAGAAAAGGGAGTTGAGGTGGGCGTGAAGGTTGAGGAGAAGCATCTCCCTGAAGTGGGCTTGGTAAATGTGAGCTACAACGTGCAGCAGCAATCTAAAGATTTTCTTCACTATGGATTCATAGGAACTGGGGAAGGATTTATCTGAAAAATACCACAGAAACATAGGGTAAGAATGAATACTCTGAAATATTCATTCATTTCTGTGATAAAAGCAAAAGATATAAAAACGTGAATTATAGTTAGAAATACGAACTAAAAGGGCTATGCAAGGTTTCTGTGAAACTTACCTCTTCTCTGAGAGACACATTATCTTACTTCTGTGTTTCAACTTGTTAGTGTCCGTATATATGAAGTTCGGTATGTCATTTACATCATCAATATTTCACACCACGCTATAAAGATGAGTGTATATGTGTGTGTGTGTGTGCTGGTTAGGGTTTACGTATTAACTCGTAGAACATCCATTATCTAGAAAAAGTCTTAATCCTAAATTTACTGATTATTTACTTACAGGAAAGTCATTATCTAGAAAAAGTCTAAACCCTAAATTTACTGGTAGTTATTTCATAGGAAATTCATTATCTAGAAAAAAATCTTAACCCTAAAATTACTGATTAATAACACATAGGAAATCCATTATCTATAAAAACTCTTAACCCTAAAATTACTGATTAATAACTTATGGGAAATCCATTATCTAGAAAACTCTTAACCCTAAAATTACTCATTACAGGATCCATAATAACGTACGTCACGCACTTAAGAAAACAAAAAACGTTAAATAAAGATATCATCAATCTTGCAATTAATCTTACTAATTAATATGTGGCTATAGTTAAGTATAAATATTTCACACCAAGTTCAATATGTCATTGACATCATCACTATTTCACACCAGGATGATGTAAATGACATACCGAACTTGGTGGGAAATAGTGATGATGTCAATGATATATTGAACTTGGTGTGAAATATTGATGATGTAAATGACATACCGAACTTGGTGGGAAATATCGATTCATCATTCACAGTTTTCTGTGTAAACGTCATCACGTAGTCTACATATTGTGGAGCCGCTACTTTGCATTTTTTCCCCTTTTCGTCGAACCATAAATACTGTCTAGAAAATGAAAATCCATCAGTAAATACACTGTAGATTTCACGTCATAAAATGACTTATACAAAAACAAATTCAGAGGAAATATGACTTCCTAGACTAACTCGACTATTAAAAGAAATGTATACGATATATATATATATATATATACAGTAAGTCTTATAAATCATAAATAACACACTTTACAATTGTGAC